CACGTTATGTATGCGACAGAGAGTGGACTTCCTTTTCCTCTAATGTCTGGTCTTTGAAAACGTGTGAAAACGTATCAAAACCAGTGATTATCACACCATTTGATCCACTGATCCGCGAGTGCGAAGACACCACTCATAAGTCGTTGAGCGATGGGTCGACGACCAGCCCGTTGTTACCGCTACTGTAAGAACAAGCCGTACCCAAAGTCGCGGTTCTGTCGAGGAGTGCCCGACGCGAAGATCCGGATCTTCGACTTGGGCCGCAAGAAGGCCAGAGTGGATGAGTTCCCGCTCTGTGTGCATCTCCTGTCCAACGAGTTCGAGCAGATCTCATCGGAGGCTCTGGAGGCCGGCAGGATCTGCGCCAACAAGTATTTGGTGAAGACGTGCGGCAAAGACGCGTTTCACGTACGGATGAGAGTCCATCCCTTCCACGTGTTGCGCATCAATAAGATGTTGTCGTGCGCCGGCGCCGATCGGCTCCAGACCGGGATGAGGGGCGCGTTCGGCAAACCCCTGGGAACGGTGGCCCGCGTGGACATCGGACAGCCGCTGATATCGGTGCGCGCGAAGGAGCAGCACAAGGACAACGTGATTGAAGCCCTCCGCAGAGCGAAGTTCAAGTTCCCCGGCAGGCAGAAGATCGCCGTCTCCAAGAAGTGGGGATTCACTAAATGGTCGCTCAAGGACTACGAGGTGATGCGCGCCGACGGCCGCCTCCGCCCCAATGGCACGACCTGTCATTACTTCCCCAATAAGGGGCCGTTCAGTGTGTGGGCTAAGATTCAGGAGACCCTCAGAAACGAGTAATTGATTGTATTTCGCGGTCGATGTCGAGATGTCTTTTGATAGATGTTTCTGTTTTTGGACACAAATTATTAATAAATTTATTTGAATTAAAATTAATTGTTTTTAATTTTATTATTACTATTATACATTAAATCTTAAATCTATTCCCGGTATACACTTTTGGACACCCAATGAAGTGTTTGGTTTTGATTTATGCAACATTTGAACACAATTTGATATCATTTTTGGTTTAATGAGTACCGATGTCTCGTTAAAATGGGTTCAATTTGTATACAGCGAGCATTATGTGGATAGTTATCTCACTGTATTTTCTAATTACCGGTATTTGGTTAAAGGTTTGTGAACTTGAAAACTTTTATGACTATCAATGCTATTAAATACCGTATAATATTTTTTTGTGGGACAGTAGTACCCGTTAAGGTCATGCTGAATCCATTACCGTAATCGTGTAGTTCAGGCAATTCATACGGTAGTGTTCATCTCTGTAAAGTTAAGATATCACCATAAATTTGATGGTTATTAAAGGCATGAATTCATATAAAATAGTTTTCAATTGTTTCTCATCCAAGACAAAGGTGATATCATATATTTGGTGTAAAATATTGTAGAATTTGCAAGTTTTAAACTAGAAAACTGTTGACCAAAAACAATTTAAATTTCATATTACGGCAATTTTCAGTACCGGTTAAATTCTACTCATTCAATACACGCTTAACGATACAAGTGGACCAAAAATGTTGTTATACAGTACCGTAATATTCGACATTGTATTACATGTAATACTGGGTCATATCCAGTGATTTTTGCGTTTCCGAAATCGCATCTAACGTTACCTAGATAGTATTACACCCCTTCTCAGAAATCTACATATCATTACATGTAATGGTATCTCAAAATTAACTATCGATGAAACAATTGATTATTTACTCAAAATTCAGTTTAATCAGTGAATTTATATGAATTAATTAATAATTGTCTTTAAAATTTAGTAGAATTTTAGTTCTATAAGATCTGTAAAAATGTCTAGTCAACCCCAAAGAATTTTATATTATTAATTCAGAATTAAAAATTATTCTGTACTAAGTTTATTCTCAACTTTAACTCTATTTTAACTCTATTTGACAATAATGACTAAGATAAAGGAGATATGAATTAAACTTCTAAATCCAAAGTGAAATTTGAAAAACTGTTACATTTTTCTTAATAATTTATATAATTTAGCATATAAGTTTAATGCTAATCCATTTGGTAATCTCAAGAAAAGTTACTCTAAAATAAGGTGTAATACTAACTAGATATCATTACACCCGTTCACTGGATATGACCCAGTATTACATGTCATACAATGTCGAATATTACGGTACATTAGATTTAAAATATATCATTTCAATTATGGGAAGTCGAGATAATTAGCGTAAAAACAACTGTTTACTGAACGCAAGTTAATTAAGTTTGACTTTATATTTGACGCACGGCTTAAATACCAGTAATACTTAACCGCAAAATACAAACTGAAAAATGGATATAAAACTTATTATAAATACAATACAAATACATTAATATAGAAGCGAAACAATACTTAAATACAAGGAATGGCTAATAAAGTGATATAAAAAATGATTCATTCTTTACAGAAGTCTTTCATCTTATAGTCGGACATCTGAGAGCGCATCCGATCGACCGATCGATCGTACAATTCGTTCATTAGTTTCAATTTAGTCAACAAATGCTTCAAATCGTTGTCACAATTAGCCAGTGATTTGCTGTCATTAGCGCCGGTTGTGGTGCTCTTCAACTGTGACTCCAATAACTTCTTCATCTCATCCAATGTGTCGGTACTCTTAGAGTCCTCCAGCATCTGATCCCAGAAGAGGTTCCACTGGTAGAGAGATTTCACGTAATTCACCACCAATTCAGACAACTCGTGGCTAGTCTTGGGAGGTGTGGCCGGACTATCACCAGACGTCGAGTCGCAGACAGACTGGTGTTGATCCGCGTCTTCGTCCGTATGTTTGGCAACCTTTTGCTGAACCACTTCCTCCTCGTCGTCGTCTTCGTCCACCTGTGGAGGCAATGGTCTCTTCATTGTCAGGTCTTGCGGTTCCGTTTGGATTGAGTCCATCTCCTCTTCGCCGCTCGACATGTCTTGGCGTCAATTGATCCCAACTTAAGACACAAATCACTATTCAATGTGTCAATGATTTCAATGATAACAACAATTGGTTTTGTTTTGGCGCTTCAAAGGGCTGTTCATATATTATGTTCATTTCAAATTTGCCACTATCATTGGTTTGGAGATTTGGTACTTTTATATATTAAGATTACGCTCATTATTAGTATACATTTCATTTGTAAAGGTACCAAAGGTAATGTTGACGTTTGTGATGTAATGATAAACAAACATTGCATTGAATTGATAGCAAAATCATATGATTTGACATATATTTAGTTAATTGTGTTTATAATTAGCGTTTAATTGCATTGAATTAGTGGTGAAAGTATTGTTGAATGCAATGGTTTTTCGCATATTTTATCGCATTATCTATGGTTTCATAGCAAACGAGCGAATCGTCGAAAGGCTGTCCGACTCGTATCCCATCCGAAGAGCCGCTCAATTGGTGTCGAGTCTTATGATTAGAAGTAAACAATCCATTGAAGACAATGTCCTCAAAGACAATACTCAAGAGTTTATTCAAGATATCAAACACAAGACGACTAGCGGTGGGAACCGTTTGTCACGATTTAGTCAAA